GGCAGCTCCTCCGCCTCCCCCTGTCGTGACCCACCACCACCAACATCCCAATTCCAAATCCACAATGGTTGTTCTTCGTTCTTGTTTACCGATTCCAGTCTTTTAGTTTTTCTTTTCCCCAAAATCTCATGGTCCCATGGAAAAACGCTTCTCATCGAGAATCGGAACCCTAAAGTCAATTTAAGCGAAGTAGAAGAGGAAACAAACTTCAAAATCGATTCACTTTCAGACGCCAAATAGGATATGAGAATCTCTTATTTACAAGTGATACTTGTACAAGCAACTACGAATGAAGTTGTGAAGGTGAAGAAGAAGAAAGGTCAACAAAGAGGGGAGGATTTTTCCTTTGTTGTAGAAATTAAGAAAGTCGATTTCTTTACTCATTTTCTTCTCTTTAGTTCTCGCATCTGGTCTCGAATGACTGTAATCAAATAATCTTTATATTACAAAAACTTCATATCTTTTGTTGTTAGGATCAGTATTTGGAACCTTCTTGGTTTGTGGGAGGAGAAAAATCAGGGGCGGTGAATGATTAAGTTGGAATGGTTCCGATTAGAAGGAGACGGTGGTAGTGACGTTAGGGAGGAGGAGAGATTGGTGGTGGTGATTTAGGGAGTTTGGTTTTGGTCAATATTGTCTAGTTCCCGAGAGAGAGAGAGAGAGAGAGAGAGAGAGAGAGAGAGAGAGAGAGAGAAGAGAGAAGAGAGAGAGAGAGAGAGAGAGAGAGAGATTTATTTTGTTTTATTTTTAATTGTTGTAATAAAAGAAAAAATTGGAAAATAAAATAATAAGGAGCAAATCCGTCATTATAAAAAAGTTCATAGGAATTTGGACTAAACTCGCAACAAAACGAAACTATTGGACCATCCTTGCGAGCCAAACCCATTTTGGACCAAAGTTGCTAGTTTTGACATACCACAGGGACCATTCTTAATTTCTTAACTTTTTAGCTCCAAACCTAGAAAGTCAATATCACACTTTTTTTTTTTGAAAGAGATGTCAATGACATTTTTAAATTTATTTGGCAAGTTTGATTCCTCCTTTTAACTAAAACAAATTTTAACTAAAATAAAAGTTAGAAATTGTTATATTTTCATGTCTTTTTTTAGTTTTTAAATTTTTTATTTGCAACATATTTAACAACGCTAATATATATTATATATATATATATATATATATATATATATATATATTATATATATTATATATATATATATATATATATATCGACGATAAAAAAGAACAACACAACAACATAATATAATTGTTTAAAGTACAATGTTATAATTAAAAAAAAACCAAAAAAATGTTATAAATAAAAAAATATAAAAAGTTACAATAGGAAGAAATGTTTTTCTATGGATATACGAAATTATTAATTTTGTTTTATTTAATTTTTTATTCAATAAAAACTAATCGCTAGTTATATTAAAAGAAACAAACAATTTTTTTTCAATAATCATGTGTGTATATTTGTACATCTACTATGAATAAAACAAACGTGTGGAAAAAATTGATTTGTTGGATCTTTGACCATTTTATTTAATACTTACAACTTTTGCCTATATAAATTACAAGTAATTGTAATTAAAATTTATTCAAAAAAGGCATAAATAAAAAAAAAAAATTTTAATTTTTTAATTTTTTATGTTTTTTAAACGGTAATATCTACTTTTGTGAGTCACATTAGCCACGTCGAAAATACCCGATACCCGAATTACCCGTTCAATTTTTTCGGGTATCGGGTAAATTTTTTCGAGTAATCGGGTAACCCGATTTTTTTTTCAGGTCGGGTAAAGGGTACGTATGTTGGGTTTCGGGCATACCCGAATTATCCGAATTACCGGAATTATTTTAATTTTTTTTCGTAGAGCTTGTACTCTGTAGCAGGTATTTGATCACGTTTAAACTAACTATCATTATTGTAAAACATGAATCTCTTTTATTATGACAATATGACACTAACAATATTAAAAGTAATTGTTTATATATCATCTTGTTCTTTAAAACATAACTATTTTCTAGATTATAGTTTTTATTGAAACTAACAAACTCATTATATCGACGAAACTTCATAACATGGCAAAACTTATGGCTACAATTATCTTAAACATTTTAAACTTTGAAATTAGGATCTTTAAATATTTGTTTTTTTAATATCTTATAAGATTAGATTAAGTTGTTAAAATATTACTTGATATCTCAGGTATTATTGACTAAAAAATCTCAATGTTCAAAGCTTGAGTAACTTCGTTTATGTATCGTTTGTTTATATAAAGAAGACTAATAAAGCACGACATATTTATTTCATTAAATTTATTTTCAGATGAAATTCAAAAAAAAATTATATATTTCGGGTAATACCCGAATTACCCAAACCCCGACCCGATATCCGAATTACCCGAATTTAATTTGGGTCGAGTAACGGGTATTTTTTTTTAACATGAAAAACCCGAATTACCCGAAACCCCAAAAAATTACCCGATCAACACCCCTAAGTCACATATAATTGTTTAAAGTACAATGCTATAATTGTAATAAAAAAAACGATGTGGATTGTAAAAAAAAAACAATGCTAATTCTTTATACTAAACTCTAAACCCAAAATTATGTTTCAGCTACATCATGTCTATTGGTAAAAGCTG